GTGTGCCGAAAACCGACGTATGCTGTAGGCCGGTAAATAAAGTGGGCAAAAAGAGAAAGCAAGATAAACATTTATTCGGTAAACATAAATACAAAGAAAATACAAATACATTATTAAGTAGACATATTAATGAAAGCCCTCCTAAGCTCTTGGACTGGGTGCGGAATGTAGGTAGCGTAAGCTGAGGACTTCCATCGACCCAGTGTTTTAATGACATGCACGGGAACATTTTGGCTAGAGGCTGTGGAGGCCGCACCAATTCTGAAGGAGTGCCCCGAGTAGCTACTAGGGTTCAGACCAAGCCTGGTGATAAGCATTCGAACGTAAAGCATGAATTTCGACGTGGTGAGAATGGTATCGTGCAGCATTAGTAGAGGCCTTGTGGGCTGTGTTTGTTTCGTGGTTAAAAAAAGTCTAGTGCTTTTACTGGGCACCACTTGTTACCCGTGGGGTAGTAGTTAATGTGAACTGGTTCCCCCATCTGACTTGTTTTAGTCTTAGGTAGAGACAGGACGTAGTAGTCTGTGTGTTTCGTGAGATGTGACGTGAGGAGGCACCCTTGGTTATGCAATTGGCCACTAACGGTGAATTCTCGTGGTCTAAGAAACCTGTAAAAGGCCAGATACATGGCGGCTTTAATAACCGGGTTTGTATTGGGTTCAAAAGGTGCTTGGTCGAGTAGATTGGACAGGGATTTGAACATTCCTATGTCAATAGCCAATCTTTTGGGCGTAGCTGGACCGTCTGCCTTTGCTATACCCTTCAGTAGCGTGTGGATGGGGTATGAGGTTAAGAACCCTTTGTGGTTAGGGAATGAGTAGTACATGTGGTGTTGTATCCCCGTGAGATAAAGCTTAATGGTGTTATGTGTGAATTTTAACTTAAGGTGGCAAAAGGATGCAAAAGCCATTAGTGATGATACTTCGAACCAGTTGGTTAGGTGATGGTCAGTCATGAATCGTTTATATAGGTGAAAAGCTCTGTTATATGAGTGTTGAGTGCTAGTGGACAAAGCTACTTTTGTGAGAGTGAGGCTGTGATGAAGTAGTTCATCTATTCCATGACAAGGTCTTGGAAGGTTGGCGCTGGGGTTGCCATACGAGCTGCCGAGGGTAGGGACCGTCTGAAAGCCTGAAATTGAAAGCGAGATAGCTGGTCAGCTGCCGTATTGTATATGCCGGGAACATGGGAGCAGACAATGTGGAAGTGATGGGTGGCTGCCAGCCAAGTCAGTTTCCCAATGAAATTCATAATTATCAAGGAGGAAGAGCGGCCTTTGTTGATAATGTGGCATATTGCCATGTTATCAGAGAAACAGCATACTGACTGACCTTCCCACAACCTACACCAAGTGACAGCTGCGGCAACTATTGGGTATACCTCAAAAAGGGCAGAGTTAGTGTGAAACCCCTCGATGCCCTGTGTTTCTGTTGGCCACGTCCCCCAGAGCCAATTTGTGCCAAAAATGGCCGCATATCCCGCGGATGATGCTGCATCTGTCCAAATGACGGGTGACTGAGAATCCGGCTGTGAAAGGAACATGCTCCTACCATTCCAGTCAGAGAGGAATCTGTACCACATCTGAAGGTCGGCAGTCGCAGGGCCGTTCAAAGATATGCGGGCATAGTCGTTGGTGAAGGTGGGGAACAGGGCGAGGAGCCTGGAAATGAAAGCCCTGCCCTGGGGGATTATGCGCATGGCGAAATTTAGTGAACCCAACAGAGATTGTAGTTCTTTACGGTTGCATGAGCCCCTGTGCATGTAGTGATTAATGTCATGTAGAATGTTATCAATCTTAGTTCTAGGGAGGCTGGCCATCATAGTTGCTGAATCGAGCAGAATACCTAGGAAGTTGATGACTGTGTCTGGACCTTCTGTCTTGGTGGGTGATACGGGGACGCCGAGTGCGGTGAATAGTTTGACAGCTTTGTGTAGGCTACACGGGGGGTTGGTGTTGGCTTCGATGAACAGAAAATCATCCAGATAGTGTATCACATTTTGGCACCTACTGGTATTAAGGAGGAGCCAACACAAAGCCTCAGCGAACGTGTCAAAGATCCTTGGACTACTCTTGGCTCCAAAAGTGAGTTTTGTAAAAAAGTAGTAGGCTTCTTGCCACTTAACTCCGTGTAGGTGCCATAACGAGGGGTATATAGGTAACACTTTAAAAGCATTGACTATATCCGTCTTGCTGAGCCAGGCCCCCACCCCCGCTGACCTGATAGCTGCAATAGCGTGGTCAATAGTGGTGTACTGTAAGGAAAATTCTTCCGAAGAAATCAATGAGTTTAGGCTGGGGATGGCTGAAGAGTGGGGAGCGGATAGGTCAATGATGAGCCTTTGTTTATCTGAATTTTTACTTGCGACCAGCCCGATAGGGTTAGTTCTCCAGCTGGAAAAGGGGGGATTACCAAAAGGACCGATGACAAATCCCTGGTCCACTTCCAGTTGTAGCAAGTTAGTGACTGCGGTAGGGTTATTAGCGGCTGACTGCAAATTGTGACATTCTAACACCCCTGTTGGCATGTAAATGAGCCCCGTGTGAAACCCGTGGGTGAGACCTGTGCATAAAAATTCCACCAGGTGTTTAGAGGGGTGAGTGGACAGCATGTGTTCAAGTACAGGAATGTTCACTGGAGACAAATAAGGTTTCTGGAACATTTTATTTGTGCACATGGATCTCGCATGTGCCCGAAAACAGTGTGAGCATACATGTAATAAGCGGCAAGCGCTGTAACCACAGGAGCCTTCATTGAAGTTATTGCAAATTTGTGAATTGCCTAGGTACACAACCGGACGACCAAATTTGTCTCTGGTCTGTATCTCAGCTTTAAGGGAGTGCTGTAGGGACGTGCTGGGAGCGCTGTCCGGGCAGAGGGGGCACAAATAAGCTGTGTGAGCGGGTGACGTACATATGGCACAAGCTGGTGTCCTGAGCCCCGCAAAGTGTCTGAGGAACAATTCATTGTCCAGTTGGCTCCAATCCATCTGGATGCCATACTGGGACAATGTGGCTGACACTTTAGATGAAAAAGACTTGTGATAGTCATAAAAAGTGTAACCACCATATTTGTTACCCAGGTCCACCAGTTTATGCATATATAAGTCCAGTTCCTCTCTCCTGTGTGGATAAACTGAGCACAGGATGTCCCTATAGATACCAAAAGACAGGACAAAATCGGGAATGGTCAATTTCTTACTGAGTCTGGGGTCTCTGGCTTTTAAAACAACAGAGATGTCCCCGTAGTCGTAAGAGCGGTTTTCCACTACATCCTGGGAGGCAATGAGCAAAGAGACCAAGTTTACGTCCTTGCCCTCCAGGATGTCTTTTTTAAGATTGGCCGGAACCATGTGGGCAGGGTTAATAACATGTGCCGCTGTCTTGTTAGGTATAGGATTACCCGCTGTTGCTGTGGATATGACCGGGGCTGTTCCAGCGAGAGGCACAGGTGGCTCTATGGCGGAGCTGCGTGCCTCCAGCCTTTCCAGTCTGTCGTTGACCTTTCCCATAGAAGAGATTAGGGAGGCAACCATAGCATGGAGAGTCGGGTCTTGGGGGTTACTAGTGCCTTCCCCCGCGTCTGTCATAAGGGTGTTTGTTTTAAGCAGTTTAAACAGTTCTGCTTTCCTGGCCGTGGCTGGGAAAGGGATACTGCGTTTGCGTAATTCCGCCGTGATGCGAGGGATAGTCCACGATCTGATGGACGAGGGACTTCCTATGTCGTCCTTACGTGTCGGGGTAAGTGACTTAGCCGGGGTGCTAGGGACTGACATGTCGTCGCCATCGTCTGGGAGCAGGGACATACTGAAAGTAATAACAGGCATAGTTGGTGGCTCGTTGGAATAGCCGGTAGCTAGTTAGTGCCAGATGGCGAAAAACTTAAATCTAGGTTTCATGGCAAGTGAGGCCCTACTAGTGCCAAGTGGCTAGAGAGGCTCTATCTATGAGTTGGCGCGAGGGGTATGGTAGCTTGCCCAGTGAAACGGGATGTTTGCCTCTCCAAGGGTAAGTACGGAGGAAAAAGGAGGGGGGGTTTGGTAGTGACAGGTGTCGCCCTCTCTGTATAATTGCGAGGCGGCTAACTATGATTTGGCCCGAGGGGCGTAAAGTACCTCGAAGTGGAGGATGGGAGTTGGCCTCGCGGACCTCTATGATTAAGGGGCAGGGAATTAACTAACGTGGTGTTTGTAGAAAGAAGCGTGTAACCGACATACCTGCAGAAAATTGAGCACTGGTTCTGTAAGAGAATTCAAGTGTCTCTTGAGTAGGGGGGAGGTTAGCTTAGGTGAACCGTCCGAGGTATGCGGATTCCTGGGGGTATGAGAATTTAAGATAATGAAACTCTTATGTGGAACATATATAATTGGCATAGTAAGAGTTCTGGGGGGGGTTGCCGCGAATTACCATTCCCCCCCCCAATGTATATGATGTTGTTAAGATTTAACGTTACTAATACATGCAGAACATTCTTAACATATGTTAACCAGCAACAAGTAAACATATATGCATGTATCACATTTATAACAAGCAAGTCATACACTATATTAAAAAAAAAAAAAAAAATTGTGTGAGGTTAATTTAACCAGCATCTTATTTAGCAGTATAAGTGTAAAACACAGATGTTTATGTATAACAGTACTTAAAAATAATTGCTATTAATTAGACATATAAATAACCATTGTAAACATAATGACCAAAGGGTATATGCATAATGAATGGTGGAGGCTGGTTGAACTAAGGGTCAACCAGCAGCAAAGAATGACCCCCTTTAAGCCAGGTGCATCCCCCCCACCCTCCTTCCCAAGTGTGTAGTCGGTGGGAAACAGGGTCCCCTAACGTTATAAGGGTCTGGTTGTGGCCTGTGAGAGCCATACCACTTCCCCCTTCCACCCCCCCCCTCCCCTTCCCTTCGAATGAGATTCCTCCCTGGTGGCCGAAAAACAGAGACTCCTAGGTAGTAATGGAGTCTCTGTTCTGTGTGTGTGGGAGCTCCTCTTACCGCCCGGATCAGTGGTAGGCGAGGAGGGTAGCCGAGACCTCCGTTCGGGAGCCGGTGGAGCCGCCGGAAGTTGGCGCGTGACATCAGAAGAGGGCGCCGCCTCTCGCCGGAAATGACGATTTCGACCCGGAAGTCGGGAGCGACGGAGGCCTGCGAGACAAGGCTGTTCGTCTGGACCAACGAAGGTAAGTGAGGGAAGGGGGGAGTCCCTTTTAAGTAGGTCTATTGCCCCTCCCACAAATTCAGGCCCTGCCTTCCAACATATACATATATATGTACATAATTTTTTTTTATTTATTTATATATAGGTATATATATAGTGATATATACATATATACTTATGTATATAGATATATATATTATTTCCTTCGTGTATTCTGATATCAATATATATTAATTTTAAAATACAGTTAGAACGAAATTACACATATATATATATTTTATTTATTTATTTATTTATTTTATCTTTAACGTATTTACATATATATTTATTTAATATTATATATAAATATATATAATGATAATTATTAATATTAATATATATTCATAATTATATATATTAATATTAAAATACACTTAGACTATGTATGTGTATATATGTGTATGTATGTGTATATATATATATATATATATATATATATATATATATATATACTTAGATCATATATATAATAAATATATAATCTAAGTATATATTATTTAATTTTACACTGTTTTAAATGGTTTTATTTTTTTTCCAGACAGCAGGGGGAGTACCTGTCATTACAGGCACTCCCCCTGCTGGCACTGCCTTGGACGGCTAAGCCGTCCATGTGACCGCGAGGACCTCGTGATCACATGGCCCAGGAGGGCCGAAGAGGAAGGAGGGGGACTCCCAGGGCTCCCAGGCAAGTCCCCTCACCGCGATCATTGGCGTGGGATCGCTGACGACCAGGTAAGTACATAGGACGGCTTCTGCCGCCCACCGGCGTTTAGAGCCGGTTCCCTAAGGACAGCATAGCATGCCCGCCGTCCTTAAGGGGTTAATAAACAAAAGCACCATACCAGCTTCTGCAACGGCCAATTTAGATTGTATAATGTTGCCCAGTTTGTTATGTATAATTATTCCCAAGTCCTTTTTTTTATGTTATCCCTAGGTCTACCTATTTTAATTTATAAGTGGCTAATTAACCTCGTAATTAACTTTTGCACTGCTCAGGATTTTCCAACTATCAACCTGATGGCTGCTCATGCCATCAGTGGGCAAATAGTTTTTATTTTTTGCCACTCTATTTCAGCTGCCTAGCAGCATTTGGTTGGGCTGAAATCTGGACCAAATTCTGGCCCGTTCAATGTCTGAATTGAAAAATCTAGGCCTTAGAAAATACTGTGATTAATGTCCACATTTTTAAGTCTGAATGGGTCGGTGGTTTAGCCCCATTTGGTACGGGCCATGCAAACTTTAATGAATAGCATTCCAGTAAAATTTATTTGAGTTTGAAATTTTGCCAGTGGACTTTTGATTTCTTGCCATCACACATTAGTGCATTCTTGAAGCTGTAGTTGTGCTCCTTAACAGCATGAATAGAACTTTTTTAGTTAAGTCAAGTTAGCTGAATTTAAAATCCAGTCAATGGTGAATAAATTGTACAATGGCTGGCTTGAAATAATGGACTTGAAATTAGTTCTGTTCAAATGTCAATTGACAAGTCATCTTTCTATGAAGAGACACAGAAGTTCAGGCTATTCATAATACATAATGATGCTGTAGGCCATGGTGTGAAAGTTTCTGAAGCTGAGATTTTTATTTGATACTGCTCAACTTTTCACCAGATAGCTCTTATTTTATGCTATTTTATAGAAGAGATTTATCTAGCATATTGTATCAATACTTAATAAATCATTCCTTGATGCAATCTGTGTACACATCAGGTAAGACAATATATTTTCAATTTGTGCCAGGTTTATGTATGTGTTTATAAAATTATTGTTAGCGGTTTGTTTTTTACTGCATATACCACCACATTGTCGCTTGTAGTCATGACATATTTCTAATGTATCATTTGGAACAATACTGCATGGTTGAACTGACATTTCCCAGCAACATGACTTTTCCTATAAATATAATGATTGAAGACCAGGAGAAAAAAAATTGGTGGGACTATTTAAAGAGCCTTCGGGCATTGTCATTGTTGGAAGCATTAACATCCAAAACCATTACAATTAAGCAAGAATAGTAGCATGTCTTAACATAATGATATTCAGACTAGCTACAGTAATTTTACTTTTTTGGAAATTGATCCAATCCTTTCTGCTCTAAATTTAACTACTAAGCAAACTTTCATATTATGGTATCAAGAATGGCATTTCTGAGAATGTTTCTTTGCACATATATTTATATAGATTAAAATACAATCATAACTATTTGAGCTGTTTTATTATTTTTTTAATAATATGTGTTGTTTTTTTTAAAAAAAGAAGAATATTACACAACAGAATATGAAAGAAAGGTTGCAAATCAATAATTCCCCATGAAGTCAAAACATGAAAGTTGCAAAACAGTATTGGTAGATAAATGAGAGATGCAATTTCATACACCAGTCAATATCATTATAAATGATTAATATTTGTAGGCAAAAAAAAGAAGAGAAAAACTAGAAAGCACAAAGTGATCGAGTGATCCATAATTTGCTTTGAGCTAAAAAGGAGGGAACTTGGGTTAGAGTAGGGCATATTATTGGGTATAATTTTTCTTTGATTATGTGATTATTTAACACAATCTCTAGATGTTTTGATACATTGATTTTAGAGCACTGACTTCAATGTATGGTATATAGCAAAAACAGGAATGAAGAATTTAATCCTATAGCAGAAATTTTACACTCTTCATAAAAACCAGTGTAGATTGTGCTTGTCATCTACATAGAGACAATATAAGAAATGACTCCTTAAAACCACATTTTTAAATAAAATCGAAATGTATTTTTATAATACATTTGACAATAAATCAGCTCACACTAGGAAAAAACGTGTTTGTTTTTAATCTTGAGAGATCTATTCCCAATGGTCCCCACAGGTATGTGATTTTCTTGAATATTAAAGGGTACTGATGCCAGTTGCTAAAGTCTTTGAGGTGGCTGAAGTACCGATCCGCTGTGGTGTTGGAGAGGCCAGGCATATATTCCGCTGTCACTGAAATGCCAAAAATCATGAACCATGTTCGCCAGCACTTTGGACTTCGTGCCTCCAAGATGGTTGATGCTAGGGATGTGCATGGGCAAATAAATTCGGTTTGGCATTTCCAAAATTCAGGAATTCCCCAACCCTAACCCCAACCTTCCTCTAAACCTGACCCTACCCCTAACCCTAACAGAGGGTGGGGTTAGATTCCTGTCATCATTCCCTTAATTTTCCCTCCCTCTGTTTTGGCACTTTTCAGAAACCAAAGCACTTCCAAAATTCAGCAATTTGGAAGCATCCAAGTGTCCGAATTGCCAAAAATCATCCGAATTTCAATTCGGACCTAAACAAATTGCACATGTCTAGTAGATGTATCTGACTGCTAAAATACTGTCCATCTTCAGTAGGATTGTGCATTCTGAGTGGGTTGGAGAGAGGTTGCACACAGCAAAGGATCTGGCCAGAAGTTCCAGGCAATTGATATGTAGTGTTAATTCTAGATCTGACCATCTGCCTCCCATGGAGATATTTCCACAACATGCACCCCAACCGTGTAAGCTCACATCTGGTTCTTTGATCAGGTCTGGGGTCATTCTGAATATAGCATGTCCATTCCAGGCTTCCATGTGGAATGAATGAAGCTAGTCTTTCACCTCCTTGTCCACTGTCACCATGTCTTCATATGATGCTCCGCCTCTGAGATAAGAGGCTTTCAGCCATTGAAGTGCCCGATAGTGTAGAGGACCTGGGAATATAGCTTGGATGAAAGCCACGAGGAGTCCAATGACCCACGCCAAGTGTTTGATGGAGAGTTGGGAGGAACAGCCAACGTGCATCTTATTTCTTTTTTGATATTGGTAGATGTAGAGTCTGAAGAGTGGAATCGACCATTAGTCGCAGGAATTCAATACGTTGGGAAAGAACCGTGACTGACTTTTCCCAATTGATAAGGAAACCCAAGTTTTGTAACAATGTCAAGGTCCACGTCAGGTGTGTGTAGAAGGTTGGCCAACTGCGCTAAAATGAGGCTATTGTCCAGATAAATGATAATCCAAATGCCTTTGATGTCAGGTTACCTTATGTATCAGTCAGGAGCATATCACAGGCTTGCATCTCAATGCAGGGTACTGGGGACATTCCTACTAACTTTCAGCTTGTCCCTAATTATTCTCACACCAGCCACGATAAACCTGCCTCCTTTTATGACGTGGCTAATGAGCGCCGATGTCATGATGCTAAGAATGCCACGGCCCACCAAAGTGTTCGAGAGAGAACATTTTGAGGGCATTGTTACCTACCTAAGTGAACATGGTATTTAAAGAGAAACCAGGGAGAGACTTATTGCCCTGTTGTGGTTCTTGTTTGACCAGAGAGTGCATATTTCGTATTGGTATTCTTGTATTCTGACTTTGGCTTTGACTATTCCTCCTGTGTTCCTTTGACCTCGGCTACTGCATTATCGTTGATCCTGATTTCTGGTACCTCACTAATGTTATAAACCCTGATTTGGGTACTACTGATATTAACAATGTATTTTCCCTTGACCCTTTAATTAGACAGAAAGAAAGTTTCTTCGATATACAAAATTTATACAAACAACAAAATAGAGGCCATTGGGAAATTACAAGTTTACGAAAATATGTTGAAGAGAAATTAGTCCCTAGAGGACTAAGGTCCGATATTCCAAGACCAGATAAGGTAAAGACAGATTCACAAATAAAGGAATGGAACAGCATTCTGATAGATAATTCAATCAAACTTATGGCATTTTTAATCAAACTTGAAGAATCACACTTAGAAAAGGTTAATCAAGTTCTCCAAGTAGAGATTAATAAAATAAACACATTTCAAACACATTTGGACTTCAAATCAATGGAAACTAAACTAAATTAAAATTTAGAAAGTTACAAAAAGTACATTAGGGAGAAAAAACACCTTAAGTTTCAGCGTAACCATAGAGATTTCAAAGAGGGTACCATCTTTAGACAAAGAAATAATATTAGAAAAAGATGGAATTGCAGACAGAATTCTGCATCAGGGGACACGGATTGGTCCGATTCGGATTCCAGTCCCCTGAGACCTGGTAGAAACACAATTAAACCTTTCAATTTAAATCAACAAACAAGAAAAGGGATATTAAAATCAGCAGAGAGAAATGTCACATTTCCCGACACCCAACCACTAACGACTCCAACTAATTTTATTAATCCATCAGTAGCCTCTCAACAAGGACCGTCCCCTTTTTTAGAACAAGAGTGGCCTCTACCACTGTGAGAGTGTGTGGCTGTGCAAGCCAGGTAGTCTGATTGCCAGGGTGTCTCTGATACAATGATTGATTAGTTTTCTGTGATTTAATGTAAATTAAAATTTAATGAAACAAAAGAAACCGTAATGGATCATCCACGTCCTCCTCACATTCCCCCCTCTCACTCTCTGCTCCCAAAACTCTCCACAAAGATGGTATCACAAGTGTGGGATTGTATAGTGTGCAGACGTGCTGCATGCTGGTAGTACTCCCTGATTGGCTGCACTATCTGTGCAGTAAAAATATTTTGTAAATTGCATATATACTAAACCAACACTAGTTATTATTAACTAAACCCAGACCACTTCTTTAAGATTAAGTGGTCTGGGCACTGCTGTGGTCCACTATGCAATGAAAAATATTTCTGTTTAAGAAAAAAATACACAAATCTTTATTTTCGAAAACAAACGTCATTCCGAACTGCCGAATGCCCAAAATGAATACCCGAATGCCATTGGTCCGAATTTCCGATGCAGTCACATTTTTTAACTTACTCGATTTTCCAAACAAGATTTTTTGCCCATGCACATCCCTAATGTTCAGTTCCTTTAGGTTTATGACTGGTCTTACCCCTTTTTTGGGAACCAGGAATAGATTGCTGCCAAAACCCGGGGTACGGGTCAGAATCTCTGTGATAGCTTGTTTGCACATCAGTTCTTGAATCTCCTTGGATACAAGAAGAGCATCTTGATGGGGAAAAAATATTTCTCTAGGTTTGGAGGTTTGGACTGGTTGTGACACAAAATCTGATAACCTGTCACGGCCTGAAGAACACAAGCATCTGACATCAGATGCAACCACACATTAGAAAAATGCATGCGTTTGCCCCCCACCACCAGAAGGGAGAAAGGGAGTGTTGACACTTACCATAAGGTAGTCTTCCAGAAGAAGCTCCCCGAATGCCCCTTGTGACCCAGGGTCTGCCTCTCTGTGGGAAGAACGCTGGTGATGTTCTTTGTTCCTGAAAAACAGTTAGTTCTCAATAGGAGCCTTGGTTCTGTCTATAAGAACATCTTTGTATACGGCCGGACAGACAAGTCCTTCCTTTTCCGGCCCCGGCAAAAATTTATGGGTTAAAAATGTTCCTCATATTACTTTGGGCTTTATCCAAAGCTGTAAATGTGTGGACAAATGACCCCAACTCCTTAACAAAGGAGTCACCGAATAATAACCCTATAATTTGGGAACTTGGTACATTAAGGGCTAATTTGACCAACATGGGTTCAGTTCTAAATAGGATGGAATTGCGTCATCAGTAGCATAAGTGGCTGGATCCAACGCATTCTTTGCCAACCAAGCAAAAAATGCGTTGGATCCAGCCACGTATGGTTTCTCGATTCAGATCTCGGTTGTTTACAATCGCATCAAAAGTTTTGGCAGCAGGGCCTAATATGTCCAGAACCTTATCCTAACAGTGGGTCAACGAAAAATCCAAACCCTTTCTGGGTTTTCATCCAGTTTTCCCCCAAAACTGGATGATTTTGTGGTCTACAATAGGCGCTTTACACACATAATCAGGGACAGTAGGGCGAGGGCATTTTGCCCATAACTTATTCTGTTTAGCCTTGTCCAAGGGTTTATGGACTCTAGAGGCAATGTATTTGGAAGGGCATCACTCTGCTGAATGTGGATGTCTCAAATCCTCTGGACCAAACAGAGGTAATCTCCAAAGATCCAAGATTTTTGTATCATCACCGGAGCCCGACACACTTACTTGGGCCCTGGAAATCGTAGCGGGGAAGGTCCTATGGGAGGAGGCAGTTGCCTCTCTCCGTGCACTGTTTCAGACTAGTCATCTGAGGTGTCTAGTATGGACTCATCACTTTCTTCCTCAATGTTGCCGAGATCAGATTTAGACAAATTAAGCTGGGCTTTCGTCCGCTTCCATAGTTTAGCCGACTTTGCCCGGCTAGTGGCTCTTTTGCGCAGTTGTATTTGCGTGCCATCTGTGACAGCAGGAAAACTGTCAAACTTGTTTTGGAGGAGTGTTTAGATTTGGCCATAGCCTTATGGCCTTGTGTGACAGGTGCCGGCATAGGTGCAGTCAACATGGCAGTCTGCTGAGCTGACTGCTGAGCATGTAATGAGGACCTTAGTGATTGTTTGTGACAAATAAAATCGACATCACGCCCATAGCAGGCATCAGAGCCTGCGTCATAGATCTGGACATGGAGGCGTCCAAAATCACCTGCATGTCTGCAGGTGCAGGGAGATCAGGGTCAAAACCCCTTCCCCCGCAGGGTCATCGTGGGGAACCTAAGGGGTTGCATGAGACCCAGAGGACATAGGGAAATCCTGCATGATATTAGTATCAGTATAAATGCTAGAATAACTAAATAGGAAACTTACATTTAGGGTTAATTAACCCACAAGGAAAGAAAGTGCTGAAAATAAACACAGTTTAAAAAAAATACTGCAGAGTAAAAGAGCTGTCCGTTCCCCAAAACTGCCAAATCTGCTAAATACCAACAAGGTTTAGACAGGAAGAGGCAAGGCTATTGGCTAAAAGGACGTGAAATTCCACCAAAAGGTGGAATATCGTGAAACGAACACAAACGAATTGGTGTTCGCATGAAAATACTAAGGAGGCAGTGTGTGGAGGGGTGACACTGTGATGGGGGCAGTGTGTGGGGAGGCTGTGGTATAAGTGACATACCTTTATTTTTTTCCGCAGTAACTTCCCTGGTGGTTCGGTGGGATAGCTATCTGGTCTGCAGCTCCGCCGGGTGACAAACTGAAGACTACGTGATAGGAGTATCAAGAGCTTTGGAAGTGTCAGAGTGTTGCTGTGGTAAATCACGACAATGCTCTGATTTGCTGAGCTTGAGAGACACTAACTTCAGTCTGTAACTCTGCACCATTGGCAGAGCTGCAGACTGGAGGAGCAGTGCTCACTCTACATGGATGGAGTGAGTGGTGGGGCCATATAGGGCAAGCCACCGGGCCCCCTCCTTAGTCCGACATGTTTTTATTCCCTAATGTGAGTTAGGTGGCCACAATTAGAGAGCCGGCTCAGTCTTCCCTTTTTAAAGGGCATGTTCAAAAATTCCCCCTTTCATCATACAATAAAACCAACAATATGGATATTTTCCTATTTCTCCTACGCTACTAAGGAATGAAAACAGTAGCAATAAAATGTTACTCTGGTGCAACACAATCAGAAAAAAGAAACAATGTAGCAACTTAACGTACAGTTTATCACAGTCTTTTAGTAATTATTCAGTTTGCATATGCTGTAATATTTCCTAGTTGGGTAAAATGTTAAATGTTCATCTCAAACCACAATCCAAAGTTTTCATATTATTCTACGTTCATGAGTATTGGTCCAATATACCTCAAAGAGAACCAGAGAATAGATGAGGATATAGTGTAATAAAGTTTTATTGTAGATAAAAAAAAGTGCTAATAAATTATATTAAATATTTATGACACAAAAATGACACAGAGAAAGATTATGTTAGGGCTGTTACTTCTCCCGGCATGCATACTTGCTCTTCATGAATGTATGTTGGCAAAGATGTTCCCCACTTTGGGAGGATGCCAAGTCTAAACAGTTTAAAATAAATAAGTTCAATTAGGAACGCATTTCGCCTTAACTTGAAGGTTTTATCAAGATGAAATCACCAGTACTTCATTGCTAAATAGATTGTTATAAAACTAATTTAAAAGAAAATATACATTCAGACATTAAAATATAATAACATACCCTCTCTAATAAAACAACCAATATCAATTAAATAACAGTAAGCATCTATCTAAAGCTTGCAATATTAGCCATAAAGAGATTATAAAACAATTATTGTACTTCTAAAAAAAATACAGCAAAAATCCTGGCAATATATTAAATGATGAAATTGCATTCACAAAAAATTATAAGACAATATGAAAACCGAATTTTAATTTTAAATTAAATGTATCAATTCCAGATCGATAGTTAGACCTGTTGGCTGTAACGTTTTGAACATATACATTCATACCTTTCTCATTTTGCTAGTTTTAAAGGTTGTTTAAAGTTTTAAACTAATATTTTACTACTTCTATTGCATTATATGTTATACTGATACGGCTCCCATTAAGGATGTTTGTAAAATATTTTGAAATGGGATGTTTATCTGATTTTCTAGTGACATTTCATACATGTTCACTCAATTATTTGTAACATTCTTCTTGCCTTACCTGTGTATTGAAGACTGCTGGAACAAGTAATAAGATAAATAACACTAGTGGAATTGCAACTGATAAATTGTTTAATTTTATACTTAAAAGGGTGTAACCTTGATAAAGTGCAAAAAGTGCTGCCTAAGGCCAGAACCACTAATAATGTAAAAAACAAAACAAAAACAAGTCCTTGGTACAAAGTGCATATTGTAAACACACAATTTAGTGCAAAAAAATGTGATACAAATATTTTAAATATATATGTTTGTTAACTGTAGTATAAATTATATGTAATTATATGTATAAGCCTCACCGGCCTCCTGGCAGTTTGTTAATGGAGCAGGAGGGAGCCTGCTGGATAGGTGGAGGATCCGGGAGGCTGTGATCCTCCCACGTGCAGGCAAGTCGGAGCTAATAAAACAGTGAAGTCAGCCTGCAGCCGGAGGAGCTGCAGGCTAAGGTGCACGCGATATCACAGGGCCCACCACCACAATATAGACCACGCAAAAAAAAACACACACACACAAAATACACCCCTTTACACACACACAGAACCCCTCACACAAACACACTGCACGCCATACAAACACACTGCACCCCCCACACACACACACAGTACCGCTCACACACACACACACTGTCAGGAATCTTACCTGAGGTGGAGTCCGGTATGCAGAGATATATGCTCACCCTTGCAAATAAACACAGACCAAGGTGACCAGATAAGAAGCCACCTGGCCTGTGAGTCTGTATGGGGGCTTTGCAGGATATAGCTCCAAGTCGCAGTACAGGCAAGTACACAAGTAGGAGGATCGCAGGGTCTGTGCAGGATATAGCTCCAATTCGCAGTACAGGCAAAGATACAAGCAGGAGGATCGTCGAGGAGAAGCTAAAGTCAGAGGATGCCAGAGGTCAGAAGCCATTTGAAGAACACTGGATCGAGAGCACAAATACAGGAACTAGAGTCAATGAACTGATTGAGAGACACAATGTTTTATACCTGGCTAATTAGGCATCTGCTTCAGGTGGACTAAGATGGACAGGAGCAGTCTTAGGAAAAGTCCAACCCCATAGTGCTGGAGACATAGTCAGATAGAACAAGGCTAGAAATACTCTGAGGAATAAGAGCTGCTGTGGCTTACAGGTAGTAAAGCAGGCCCAGTACCGCAAAGTACCCAGCACTTTGTTATTTGTGCCAAGGACATTTTTTTTTTTTTTCACGTTTGATCTTATAGTTCCTAAAGTGCTAGATAAAAATGAATATATAGAACTGTATGGCAGTCCTACCAATTTACACATTTTGCACACCCCTAATTTATGAAAGACCTGTTTATCATTGTGAAAATGTAATTTCCACACTAAAAGAGTCTATCCTCGAACTACAGCACAGCCAACAAGTCTTCTCAATACAACTGTCAGCACAAGAAGACAAGAACCAATGTAATCACGTCAAAATACGAGGCATACCAACCTCTGTTGCCAAAGAGGAACCAGCTCACTAGGTGAGACAGCTTATGCAATCTATACTACCCCTCATGGCGACAAGGAAACTCACCTTTGTGGTGATTTACCGACTGCCCACGCTGACCAAACCTCCTACACACCCTGCTGGAGATGTCATCATCCGATGCACTCTACCCCAAGACAAGGGTCACATTATGGCTGAGATAAATTTCAAGACCCCTCTCAATTGTGAAGAGTTAGAGTCCAAACTGACTTTTTATCAAGTCACCACTGCGATCCGTCATCGTCACTTATAAAGATGCCACACACAAAATCACCTCAGGAACTGAAGCCCCTGTGCTACTATCAACTCTAAGTCTCTGGAATATGACGACAACCACACCTGGCCAGAGAGCTTCCCCAACAATTGAGCCATTCACCCCAAGAACCAGACTAGAAGACCCTCTGGCCACTTGATGGGTTTGGGAGGAGAAGTCTTCTATCCCAGCTTGATCAAAGGCTATACAAAGTTATCAGTTCTAAAGTTTATTTGTACTTTACTTATACTTTTTTACGCCACTACTGCCAACTATCATATTGTCTGATTGGCTCTATTGTTGCTACATTGATATGAACCAACACAGTGCGCAATCCCCTCCCCCAGACGACCCCTAGGTTAGGGTCACTACCCCTCCAGAGTAGCCTACACATCAACTGGATGTACTATACCTCCACGAGGAGGAAGAACATTCACACAGTCTACTCTCACGCATCTCTAATCAAAACTACACCTACAAACCCACCCTATTGAATCACAAGTGTTATTTATCTAAATCGTCCCCAAGGGTCTAAAAGTATACACCTGTATACCTGACATAAAGCACACACTCTGGATCATACCACAACTACCACTACACAGATAGATAGCTGCATTTATTATCAAGCAGATGTACATTAACTTACTACTGTGTCCTGGTACCGGCTAGGCAGCCATGCATGTGAAGTTTAAATATATTTTTTTTTAATAGTGCTAAGCTGTAACAGACAAATTGTTCAATGACTACTGTATAACACTGCAATGCACATCAATGTGTATGTTAACCCTATCTTCTGCTCACAGCAAAAAAAAAAATAAAGAATTTAAAAGAAAAGAAAATAAATAAAATATAATTTAGGAATTGGGGATCATAACTTTTTACTAATTTATTTTTTTAAGTTAGGAGTCCCATAAATAAAGCTCTAGGTTTATCTGGCAAATATTCCCCCAAAAAGGAATATATTTTTGTCACGGCCCCCGGCTCACCATGAGGTGCGATCGCGCCTGACCGGCATGAGCCGCCGAACAGACTGAGCTTACCTGCTCAGCGGCGAGTCGGTAGCTGCTCCACCGGGTCCTCCTGGCAGCAACATGCTGATTGAGAAAGCCTGCATAGTGGGCAAAACGCGTCTTGGACACCAGGTGGACCGTGCAATTGTATATTCATATACTTTTTTATCTGCTTTGCTTTTATCTCCCCAGTAGAGTACTTTTTACTTACTTTGTAATATAATAAAAGTTTAATTTACCACCAAATCCTCTTAGACCATCTGTTCCA